CCCAGCATTTTTGGTTTGGCCACAAACGGATCGAGAGCTTTTTGCTTCTGTAGATATATGATGTGGCGATAGAAATTATATATAGACAATAATTGGAACTAGAAGATTCACGTTGTGCTCCCAAGTCAATGCAAGTTGCAGATATTTTGTTACTTGTATTTATTAAGGTGCACCAATGAACAGGTTTAATTTTAGTTAAATCTGACAATACGCGATGCATTTGATTTGGCAATGAGAAAGAGCTGTACATGTGCAATGCATGTCTTCCATGGACGGATAAGATTTTTAGCGTCAAACATAACTGTAATCTCCGCCTTTTTTGAGTAAGGCATTGGACACCCTAAGATGTTCTTTTAAGGTGCATTTAGCATTTAAATTATTTTAGGATGTAATTATGACTCAAATATGCTCCTCCGATCCTTAATATAAAACCTATTTCACTAATTTGATCATATTAAGAAAATTATGTAAGTTAATTAATTATAAGAAATATGATATGTTTTTCCTAAAACATTATAATCATTTTTTTTAATATTCTTCTTTCCTCGCTTACTTGATTATGGTTGAAAGAATATCTAAAAGAATAATTTTAAAAAAATTGATAAATATGAGAAATAGCTCTTATATTTAGTACTAAAATTAACTTAACAATTAGGTTCTATATTAAAGAGTAAAAGAGTATTAAAAATAGATCAATTTTACCCTTCTAAGCTAACAGCTCAAACGTCGGTTTTCTTTTTCCAAGCAAAAAGCTTCCATCCTCTCTCTTCTCCCTCCTACACGGCCTCCATAGTCCTCACTCACCATAATCAGTTTTTTTGGCCTAGGCATGGGTATCCTACTGTTAGAATCAATTCTATTTAGAATATTGTTGGACACCTGGACATTTTATTTGAGAAACTAGCATATTCTGCGAAACCCAACCTCTATTAGTCTATGACCAGATTAATCCAAGTAAAACAGCTCTAATCTGGGAATTAACTCAAGGATTTAGGGAGTGAAAAAAGGAGTAATACCTTCCTGGTTAACTTACTCAAATATTAACCAGTGTTGGCATTAAACTCAGATGGCTGTCAAGACGGTTTTGTATTTACTTACAGAAGCGGAATGGGGAACTTTATTCTCTATTTTTTTCAAATAAAGTGACCGTAAACAATTTCTCTTTCAATTCCCATCAAAGATAAAAACTCACTATATTTAAAATACACACACACACACATCAATGTGTTTTAAAGGGGAACACAACAAAAGCTTGCTTTAGCTTGCAAAGATGGAAGAATCTGCAAGAAAGCTGCTGAGTGAAGAAGATGACGCGGGTCGTTGCGGCTCTAGATATTCACTCGAGCCTCCACCTTCGGCATCAATGTCACGAGCCAAGCTTTTGTTGGTCATATTGGCTCCTAGGAGCTTGTTGCCTTCGCGCTCCTCTTTTCACTGTTCTTATCAGATGACGACGACCTTGAGGGATCTAGTGGCTATGGAGATAGGAGGGAGGGCCGCCAAAGGGAGGCGTGAGAGTAAAATTGATCTATTTTTAACATATAAAGGGTAGAATTACACCTAAAAATATTTTACAGCTTTGTATGCATTTAAAAAAAAACATTTCAGAGTGCTCAATAAATCTTAACTCAAAATAAAATAAGACAGTAAACTGTTTGTATTTTTTTAAAAAAAAAAAAGAAGGAGAACGAATGAAAATATTATGTTAAACTTTGTATTTTTGCTTTACTTAGTTAATTTTTACAATCATCGGTATATATGTGTGTGTATATATTTTCAGTCAAATACAATATAATCATCTATCTGTGTAACCTATAGTCTAGACGAAGCAGAATGGTTTATTAGAAGTTGATGTTTAATTTACTACTATATAGAAGATTATGTCCTCGAAAAATCTGCAACGTGGCATTTCTCTGATCTCACCCATCCAATCAGCCTGTCCTTTCCTTTGTATTATCTGCATTTAGTGTGAACGAAACAGAGGTGATGAGAACCTAACTTTGTTTAGTTTAATTAAAACTGAAGTAAAATCCAACTGCTTTTGCCCATAGACTTTCAAGAATATGGGCTCCTCAATGTCATCTGGACAACCAATTAAAATATCAGTATCAATATTAACTCAAGAGTTAACCAGCGGGGTTAAGGGTGTGTTTGGGTGTCTCCCCAAACCACGGTTTGGGAAAAAAATAACCCAAACACCCATGTTTTGACCTCAAAACTATGGTTTTGGAAAAAACATATTGAATTTGCTTTTGAAAAAAATTGGAGAGTGTCATGCTTTTGGAAAAAATATTATAGAATTTCATGTTTAAAATCTTTAAAGAAAATTAATATTTTTTTATTAGAAAAAATAATTATTTTTCTATAAACATGTTTAATCTTATAATTTAAAAATATATATATACATATTAATTATTTATTAATTATATTATCTTATATATTATTAATTATGTTGGTAAAAATTATTTTATTAAAATTTTATTCCTTCAAATCAAAATATATTATAAAATCTATTCCTTATATAATTGTCATATTAACTTATGCCCTTTTTAGTAATTTGCACATGTAAAAAGTGCTTCTGGTAACAATTATCCAAATACTCTCACTTCTCAGAATCACTTTTTTACAAAATCTATTCTCTCTAGAATCTATTATCCAGAATCACTTTTTCAAACCACGGTTTGGTTTCATCCAAACACACCCTAAGTCCAGCGAAAAAAGCCAATCCCTCGTGTTGATGTCTCGAACTGGATTAGAGTTAAATCCCCATGCAATTTATAGGATGTTGTGGTAATTAGGAAGTGAAATCAAAGTAAAAATATAAAAAATTAAAGAAAATACTCCTTATAATCCTATATATAAGCTTCAAATTTGGAAAGGGATATGATTCATTTTATAAGTTTTAATTTGGATTTATCTTAACATTTAATATATATTTTTTAATTTTGCCTTTAATTATTTATTCTCTCTCTTTCGTCATAACCTCTCTTATCACATTTTTTCACATATTCTCTTTTATTCGTTTTCTCATTTATTATAGGGGCATATTTGAAAACAAAAATATATTTCTAACCTATTTATTAATTTTAACTAATTGTTCATTATTGGTGAATTAGTTATATGAAGCTTATAATAAGAATGGAAGGGAGTAACTGAATTTAATGTACCCACATCCGAACCAAATAATCCTCCAGATGGTAATTTGTTTAGTAAATCCAGTTAATGTTGCAACAAACGTAATTTATCAATGGCAAATTATCCTAATGACAACGTTAACTATTACTCCTCTTGTACTATATATTTATAGAGTAGAGAGAGAAGATATTTTTTAATCATATTTATAGCGTATTAAGATAAATTTTTTATATAAATGCACAATTTTACCATTCATTTGTTATTGTACTATGCTGACTTTGTTTTATATGAGATATAATGTATATTAAATATGAATAAAGTTGAACAATTGTTAAATTTTAAATGAGAGTTAATAAAATTTAAGATTTTTATTGATTTTTACGAAACATACAAAAAATGACTTATATATAAATAAGACTAGAAGTGTATATTTGAATGAAGTTTTAAGCTCTAGTTTCTAAAACCAGTTTCAGTGTTCATACCGATGATGAGCATCATGGTGCTAATCACTATAGTGAAATCTGAAACAATTCTCAGAAACTTGTCATTCGCTTGTTCTTTTCCTTCTTCCTTCCTCATCATACATGTCAACAAGTCATCATCGTTTTCTTTATCTTTTTCGTTCTCTTTGCTGATCTTTTCTCTCTTTGATGCTCTACTTCCGTAGAGGAATCGGTCAAGAACCTCACATGCTAGGGCCATTTCCTTCTCTGATCCAATTTTAAGCCATCTCTGAAGCTTCCAAAGGCTTTTAGGTACTGTGCGCCTGTAGAATATAAACTCCTCCGCTTCAGTAAAAGCAAGTCCTCTCACACATAACTCTGGGGAAATCAATGGCAAGGCTTTCTGGGTCATATCCTAAGATATTGGAGCAAACAACGCAAAATTGAATCGATTGAACACGTCTTGCAGGTCCACTTCAATCCCTTTCCTTTCTACATGATCAAGAAGAAGAAAGAGACTCTCCACCTTCTTTCGAACATTCTTCTCCATAAGCATCTGAAAACTTGATTACTGAAAATACTATAGAACATGCAAGGAGACCAATAAATCAGTTAAGGCAGAGAGTTTTGGGTCTGAGGAGAAAAGCGGTGATGCTGAAAATTCCTTGCTAGAGAAGTCAGCACTTGCTAAAGTAGGAGCAGCAGATCTTGTTGTGAAAAGAAGTGATGATAACGTGTGTTCCTTCTCTGATGAGAATGCTCGAGTATCAAGTTTGGTTGAACCTAAACAAAAGGAATATGATAGTAAGTTACCAAATCGTTCATCATATGGTAGTCCTATCCCTGAATCTACTAATGCTATAGAACATACCAAAGATTCTGAGATTCCAGAATGCGCTGAAGATCAGATATTACATTCGTGATTGCAATTTTAGTTTGACCCTTGCAAAAATTTTAAGGTAAGTTATACTCATACCTGTTTTTCTTTAATGAACTGATATGCAGCCCCTAGTGGCGTCCGGTCCCCCAGTGCTAAAGACCTCCTGGTTGAATTGCCGTGGTTTGTTGGAAGCGCTGGGCTCCAACAGATAAAATCAGGTTGGAAGTCATCTTATAACTTAATTTTGAGATTTTGTTGAACTCTCTGGTAACCTTAAAAAAATTTTGTGACATGATAGCGCATAAGCGCGCACTTGATTTCCTCCTACATTACTTTTTTTTTTTTTTTTTTTTTTTTATCTCCTTCCCTATTTTGGGGTTCTAACTGCTTTGGTGTGGTTGTTTATATTTGGGGACTGCTTTAGGCTTTTAGAGAGAGCTTTGACTGATTTAATTAAACTCTAATTATTCCTAATTTGTTGTTAAAGCCATGTTACGTGGAATCTCTTATTTTGACTTTCCTGTATGTTGTGTTGTGGATGTAGCTGTTTGCTGTTGGATCAATAAATCTCACGGCGGCAGAAGCAGCTCGATAGTGTGAACGTTAACTGTGCATTATGTAATAGTCTTACATGAATAATTCATTTATTCTCTTTGTTTCGATTCTTTATTTACTCCTTTCTTTTGACTTCTGAGCTTGTCTTTGTGAAGCTTTCTGTAGTTCCCTTGTATAAATTAAAGAATGTGGACCTGATTCTCAATGCATACCTCTAATCTCTAATGATTTGTAAAATGAAGAATGTAACTTGTGAGATAAGCCTGTCAAGATGTTAATGTCTACAATGAGAACAACTACGTCGTAAGTTTTTTCAGAATGTGTTGGTAAGATTGGATTCTTTTATGGCCGTTTGGCATGATGGAAGAGTTTTTAGTAGAATTGGAAGTAGAACTGGAAGTAGAATTAGGGTTAAAAATTTGTTTAGTATGAACATGAAAGTGGGATATAAACTTTAATTAAAATATGTACTAATAATACTCAAATGCCCTTGGGGGGGGGGGGAATTCTCCCCTTCCCGGTACCATCTATCGAACCAAGAACAATCACCCCAGGCAACAGAATTCCCAAAATCATCAACTAGTCAACTAGTTAATAGAAATCATAAAAAATGCCAAAGAACAGTCGACCATTTGCAGCCCAAAAGGGCTTGCCGTTCTTCCTCTGAATGTCTGCTTCAAATTTTTCTAGGTTCTGAAATTACAGCATCGGCGAGTTTTGCATTGTCGTCTTTGAGTAGGCATCATCACCGACTGTGGTTGACAGATCAGTGGAAGGATTTGAGGGAACAGTGCGGTGAAACATGAGAAGGACGATGAAGACAACCTCATTGGTGGAGAAGAAGCTGATATGGAGGAGGAGGTGGAGCAGCGTCAGTGCCATCATCAGATCTGAGACGGAGGAGCGTCACCGTTGTCGGCCATCATGGTGGAGGAGTGTCGCCACCCGCAACTAGTGGAGGACCGTGGTTGCTGGTGAAGGGTCGGTGAGAATGAAAGGAGAAGAAAGGAGGGGCAGAAAAGTATAACGGTTCTTTCCATAGGGTAAGGCATGGAACCCGGTTCCATCGATTTTGATGGAACTGAGTTCCATGGGGAACCCGGTTCCCACGTACCAAACATCTCAAAACATTGATTCCACTTCCACTTCCATTTCTCCAGCCTCAGTTCCAACTCACCAAGCGGGGCATTAATGAAATCTCAAATGTTTTTTCTATCTTTAATATAGAACCCAATTGTTAAGTTAGTTTAGGTTCTAAATTTAAGACCTATTTTTCATATTTATCAATTTTCTTTAAATTAGCCCATAGATACTCTATCAATTATAATCAAGTAAAAGAGGAAGAGGAGGTATTAAGAAAGATGATTATGGTGTTTTAGGAAAAATGTGTCACATATCTTATAATTAACTAATTTACCTAACTTCCTTAATCTAATTAAATTAGTTAAATAAGTCTTATATTAAGGATCGAAAGAGTACATTGTAACGTTTGAAGATTAGTTGATGTCTAATGCAGTTCTCGTAGCCGAATGAGTTGCATGTATTGCCCCGGAAAACATGTATTGATTTTGGGGATGAATTGTCTCTCTCATTCTTCTTTCCATGCCCTTCACGAAGTCATTGGCTTTCATCTCATGGATTGCACTTCTGTAAAATGAAACTGATGCCTGGAGTTTGGCGTTCCTTTATGATTGCTTCTAAATGCTGAATGAAGATATGCTTATGGGTGTTGATCTCCGTTAGGCACGCCCATTACTTTATTTCCTTGTATATTTTTTTCCCTATTTTTCTTTTTTTGGTTTAACTCACGTCACAAAAGAAGCGGACGTTAGTTGTTGGATCCAATTTCGGTGCTCATTGCAATGATGAACATTCTAAACTCATCAAATCTGGACCCTTTATATCTCATATGGATGGTTTGAATTTGATTTCTTTTTTATTTTTATTTGTTCAAAATAATTATTTTAGTATATATAGAATTTAAAATAAAAATAATCTTTGAACTATCATTTTTAAAAAAAATAGTTTTTTATTTAAAAATAATCTTTAAGAATTTTAAATATGGATAGTTAAATCAAATATAAATAGTCCAGATTTGATGAGTTTAGAGTATTCATAAATAATAAGTACTGAATCTGACTTCTTAGTTATTGAGTTTTCAGTCTCCCTCCATCCGTTTAAAAGCCCAGGGCTAGCCGAGGGTGATTACTTTCTCGGCTTTTTGACCAAAACACTACGCACAGCAAATAATATTACTCAGATGTTACAGAATGAAAATTATTTATATAAATACAGAAATACTACATCCAAACTCGTTCCTTGAGAGATGAAGTTTGGAAAAATAAAAAACTTCCTCATCATTTTTTTAAAATTTTTTTTTCATAAAAAATGGTGCCAGGCTACTCCTGCCACCTATTTAAATAGCCTACCATTTATCTCTCTCTCCATTTTTCTTTAAAAGCCTCCCCCACTCCCTGCACTTTTTTTCCTAATCCGTGGAGATCCACGTGCATAATATCATATTACCATTTTTAATACTTATACACAGTACTCCTCCCGTCTTATTGAGATTTAATTAACAAATTTAAATAGATTAAGAATATTAATTAAATTAATTAATATGATATATTTTTATTTAAAATACTCTAAGCATATTTCTTAATTTTCTCCTTCCTTCTCCTACCTAATTATTGTTGGGGATATATTAATAGGATTAATTTAAAAAAAATTGATAAACATATAAAATAAGTTTTATATATAAACCCAATATCAACTGTCTGATAATAAATTATTATTATTTTATTTAATTTTATTTTTTGCATAAATTGTTTTATTTAATTTTAGTTTTTGCATAAATTGTTTTGTTTAAATTTAGTTTTTGCATAAATTATATTCTTCCGGTCCTTAATATATGAGCTAATTAGAGAATCAATATTAGCAATATATATAAAACCTATTTTACATGTTTATCAATTTTTTTCTCAAATTAATCTTATTAATATTTTCTCAACAATAATTAAATAGGAGAAAATTAAAAAACATGCTCAGAGTATTTTAAATAAAAATATATCTTATTAATTAATTTAATTAATATTTTTAACCTGTTTAAATTAGTTAATTAAATCTCAATAGGACTAGAGGGATACTGTGTATAAGTATTAAAAATAGCAATATGATATTATGCATGTGGATCTCAATTGGGAAGAAAAGTACAGGGAGTGAGGGGAGGCTTTTAAAGAAGAATGGAGAGAGAGAGATAAATGGTAAGCTATTTAAATAGGTGGCAGGAGTAGCCTGGCACCTTTTTCATAAAAATAAAAAAATTTTAAAAACGACGAAGAACTCGTTCTTGCAAAGAACAAGTTCTTCATTTTTCCAAACTTGATCTTTCAAAGAACGAGCTTGGATGTAGTATTTATGTAAATAATTTTCATTCGGTAACATCTGAGTAATATTATTTACTGTGCATAGTATTTTGGTCAAAAAGCCTTACATTTCAGCTTTCCCAGATAAATTAAACTGTTCAGCAGTCTTTCTTGTTACTTTGAAACAGTTCTAGGTTGTGATATAAAATAATGGGAGACCAGTTTAGATCGTACCATTGTCACATTAGGAACCCCCCCAAAAAAAAAAACTTGTAGGTAGAGAGGCAGAGAGTAAGCATAGGTTACAATTCAGTTGAGAGAGCCTGTCAACTCTTTTTTAGGTCTAGAACAAGAGCATAACTAGAAGCAAGTGAACTGGGGTTTGGAGCCTTGCTCACATACAAGTTCCGGGCTTGAAGATTGAGATTTAGCCGCTAGTTTCTGCTTTCTCTGCTCCTCCTTGCAGAAATATGAGCACAAGGTCTCATCCGAGGGATGAAGCTTGTGAAGACCTGAGAGGATTTGGTTGAGCGAACTTTCTGATTCTTTGATGGAACATGCCTCCTTTCAGATTCTGCTGAGGAATAATGAACAAGAGGCCTAAGAAAGCATGTATGATTTATATACATTGAGGGTTGTAGTGGCAAGTTTTTTGGCAGCAGTTGCAGACTATACTAAATTTATACCTGCCACTACTTTTGTTCGTTTTGCATGAAATGTTTTGTTCTCGTTTGCTTTCTCAATTTCCCACCAACTTCTTCGTAACGTGATCCTGAGGACTGTGGATCAACACTTTTGCCTAGAAGCTGATGCTTGAGTGCTCGATCAGGGTTATTTATCATAAGTATGTTTATATAACTCAAAACAAAAATTTTTTTACTTATTTATTTTGTACACTGTAAATCGCCATTGAAATATTCCGATGGCCAATTCTTTGAAAGATCTGACTTCATATCGGTCTCATTCCCAGAAAAATATTCTTTACATGGATCTAATTTATAAATATGAATGAATTTAAAGTAAAATAAGTATTAATAAACATATAAAGTAGAAACGCAAAATAAAAAATTGCCCTGTGTCTTTTTCATCATCAGCACGGTCCACAAATTCGTCCAACGAATCTATTGATTTTTTTCCCCCTTGAAGCTAGGCAGAGACAGGCTCAAGGGACATAGGGTGCTTTTATTTCCAACACCCATCACCTCATAAGTATCTGGATAATGGACCTAGACGACTGGTTCTTATTAATTAATATTTTGACGATATACTTTGTAATTAAATAATTTTCATTTGTTTCGGTTAGATTTTTCTCCGCGCGCGAGTCCCCACCTTTTCTTTGTTTTTTTCTTTTAAGTTTAGACAATTATATATTTTTTATTACATATTATCAAGTTAAATTCCCAAACAACAGGGAAGCGAGCTTATTAATTAGATGTGATCAAGCTGAAGTGGGCCCCACCCGGTGTTGATTGACTTGTAAACAGTTTTTGAAATAAACATATGGTAGTATAAAAGAAGTTTTGTTTTGTTATGATCAAACTAAACACATACAAAATGATGTTAGAGATTATCCCTCTCACAAGTAGCCATCATGTTTGTCGTGCCAAATGATGTCCCACCAGGCTCTTCGTGATAATGAATTGGTTCTGTTGTAGTTGTCATCATCCAGCATGCTGCTATTGTATTATTGATGGCGCTGTGGGGAGGTCTTCAAGTACACCGTAAGATCTAGATAGCTAGGCTGGCTTGTCGTCGTTTATTTGTCTGAATGTCATAATTGACTCTTTTGTTCTGATCTCTTGTGGGGCGTACTTGTGTCATTTGTTTTGTTGCTGCACAGTTTAGAATCCGATATTAATCGTCCTCTTCATGAAAACAAATTCCCTTTAATTTCTCACCACTTATTATTATTATTATTGTAATTGATCCAGCAATGGGGACAAACTCTAATTATTACATTGCTGTTTCAAAACTTGAAAATTGAAACTCTACCTTTTTTGGCCACCATTAGAGGTGGAAACAGGCCAGGCGGCCTGTCAGAGGCTTATGGCCTGGCCTGGCCTGGCCTGTTTCCTAAAAAAGACAGGCTCAGGCCTGTTTGAAGGCCTGTTTAGTTAAACAGGCCAGGCTTAGGCTTTTTAAAAAGCCTGTTAGGCCAGCCTGGGCCTATTAGGAATTTATAATTATAATATATAAAAAAATTAATTAATGCTATTATTGTTAATGTGCTTTTTTAATTTATTTTTTAATTTTAATATATAGTTAATAGCTTAATCTTTTCTTAGATTTTGAAGTTTAAATGACAAGTGAAGATAAAAATATAATTTAAAATAATAATATTAATAAATAATGTGATTTTTAAATCTTAAAAATATAAAAAAAAATAGGAAAGAAAAATTTTATTCCAAGAATGATAAATTAACTAACTTATGTATTATGTTAATTTAAGTATGATATCCTCTTTATTCATTATAAAATTAGTATTTTTTTTCCTCTTTATTTATTTGTCTTAATTTTAATTTTTTGTGTACTTAAACGTAGTCTTATTCCAAATTTTAACATATAATTACAATTAGTTTTTAATAACATTCTTATAAATTATAATTAAGATTTAAAATAGTACTTATGATACTAAAATTTAAATAAAAGACAAGACTAAAAATTTAATTATTATGTACGTTTTTTTAATCTTAACTTTTTAAAAAAATAATAATTATAATTTAAATTTTTTAAAAATACAGGCCTTTTAACAGGTTTCAGGCCAGGCCAGGCCTTTACACAGGCCAGACTCAGGCTGAAAAATAAGCCTGTAACAGGCCACAGGCCAGGCTCTGGCCAATAAACTCCAAAACAGGCCTGGCCTGTTAAGAACAAAGCCTGGCCTGTTTCCACCTTAGCCACCGTACTCAAAACTCAAAAGGAGTACTGAATTCTATGCCGCTTTATCCAGCGCTTTAAAAGAACCCCCTTTGTTATCATATCCTTTCTCTTATTTACCCCAAAAAAAAAATTATAGTAGTCACACAATAATCAAAGGTTTTTAAACAACGAATGGAGGAGCGTCCTGTGGTATTTCCATGCATCTGAATCCGCAGTGAAAATCCCATCGCCAAAAGCTTCAAAAATCTCACGAAACTCGGGCCCTTTAATGTAGTTGGCGAAATTCTTGCTCATCATGTGATGCACGTTCATTGGGTCGCACGTCACCAAATAGTTCATTCCAGTAAACCAAGGTCCGAGGAAATTACCAGTACCTCCGTTTCTTCGCAGAACTTGAGTTGCGTAGTCATGAATCTGCCACAGATTTATGAGAACTGGCGGCAACATTCCTAATAGAGGCCAATCCGGTAAGAGGGGGTCTCTGCAACATCGGCTTCGATGAAGATGATAAAAGAGAGTGATAAATGCTGCAAAACCAGCAATTACTTGCACACAACCCAGCATTTTTGGTTTGGCCACAAACGGATCCGGAGCTTTTTGCTTCGATAGATGTACGATGTGGCTATAAGAACTCTATATAGACAAAATAATTGGAACTAGAAAATTCACGTTGTGCTCCCAATTCAATGCAAGTTGCTGATATTTTGTTACTTGTATTTATTACGGTGGACCAATGATCAGGTTTGTCTTTTAGCTCAATCTGACAATACGCGATGCATTTGATTTGGCAATAAGAAAGAGTTGCGTGCAATACAGCAGCTAGCTTCGGTATTTGTCGTCGTAATGAATTTTATGCTATTTAAATATAATTTCAATGGTCTATATTTAAAATTTAACAATTTTTTAATAAAAATTTATTTTTAAAAACCTACAATTAAAAAATTATATTTATTTTGAATTATCTACCTATTAAAAAATATCTTTTGACAAAAATAAAAAGCTTAAATCTTGGCATCTATTAAATTTGAATCATTGAAATTTGATGAGTATTATGATATTTATTGTTGCAATCAGCTCACCGAAACTGATTATGTGTAATGCATGTCTAAGCGATCAGATTTTCAGCGTCAAATACAACTATAAGCTCTGCTTTTTTGGGGAGAAAGATACAATAAGACAGTAAATTATTTGCAGATTTAAATAAAATAAGAAGAAGAACGAATGAAAATATTATGTCAAACTTTGTATTTTTGCTTTACTTGGTTAATTTTTACAATCATCTATATGTATAACCTATAGTCCGGACGAAGCAGAATGGTTTATTGGAAGTTAATGTTTAATTTACTACCATATAGCAGATATGGGCTCCGATCCTCAAGGTCATTTCGACAACCACCAATTACAGTATCAGTGTCAACATTAACTAGAGTTACCCACCGGGTTAAGTGCAGTGAAAAAAGCTAATTCTTTTTATCAACATTAATAAAAAGATAACTACCAACGCATGTTGGCACGACTAGTAAAGGAGTCGTTTTCCCTTAACCATCGCCTCTGGAGTTCGATTCCTGGAGGGATGGGAATGGAGCAAGCGTGCCTGAGAGAGTCACTCCCATCATGGGTTGACAGTACCCGAGGGATTAGTCATCGTGCTCACTTTAATGGATACCCTGGTGCATACAAAAAAAAAAAATAGAAAGATAACTATGTTTGTAAAAAAAATAACTAGAGTTATATCCCCATGCAATTTATAGGATGTTGTGATAATTAGAAAGTGAAATCAAAGTGAAAATATGAAAATAAAAGAAAATGCTCCCTCTGATCCTATTTAAAAGTTTTAAATTTGGAAAGAGGTAGGGTACATTTTATAAGCTTCAATTTAGATTTGTCTTATCTAGACATTTAATTCATTTTTTTCAATTTTGCTTTTAATTATTTGTTCCCTCTCCTTTGTCATAATTTTTTTTATCACACTTCCCTACATATTCTCTTTCATTCTTTTTTTTTTCATTTATTATAAGAGCATATTTGGAAACAAAAATATATTTCTAATCTATTTATTATATAGAAATTAGTTATTTGAAACTTATATCAAGAATATAAAGGAGTAATTTAATTTAGTGTCCTCACATCCGAACCAAATAATCCTCTCCAGATGGTGGTTTGTCCAGTAAATCCAGTTAACGTTGCAGCATAAATAATTTATCTGTGGCATCCTAATAACAATATTTAGGTTTAAATGAAATCGTAAGCTCCGGCCATGGAACCAGTTAGTGTTCATTACAATGATGAGCATCATAATGCTCATAATTATGATGAAATCTAAACTATTCAAAATCAATTTTAATAGTCTAGATTTAAAATTTTCAACTAGTGCTTTTTAAATAAAAAATTTATTTTTTAAAACACTTACACTTGAGGGATTGTATTCATTTTGGATAATGTACTTATTAAAAAGAAAATATTTTTTAAAAAACAAAAATATTATCTCAGCCATCCGTTCTAAATTTGAATGATTGAAATTACTGAAACTGGTTCCGCGGGGCATCTCTCTTCGATGACTATGGGCTTCCATCGCCATTCATGTACCATTCGGATCAAATTTTATATTAAAATATGAATTCATTTATATTTTTAGAAATTGCAAAATTCAATCCGACTCACCGCAACCACAACTGCACAAAGGCATAACATCTTTTGGTTTGGACACAGACGGAGAGCTTTGCTTTCTATATATATACGTGTGTGTGTGATATATGATGTGCTTTACAAATTATATATATATACTGTTTCGGTTCTCAATATAAGACCTAATTGTTGAGTTAATTTTAGTCCTAAATATAAGACCTATTTCTCATATTTATCAATTTTTTCTAAATTACCTTTATAGATATTCCCTCAACCATAATCAAGTAGAAGAGAAAGAGGGAATATTAAGAAAGATGATTATGATATTTT